TCCTAACATCCAACCTGAATATCCCCTGGCACAACTTGAGGCCATCCCCTCTAGTCCTGTTGCTAGATATGTGGCAGAAGAGGCCGACCTCCACCTCTCCTCAGCCTTCTTTCAGGCATTTGTGCAGAGCCATAAGGTCTACCGTGAGTGTCCTCTTTTCCAGACTAAACTAATCCCAGCTCCCTCAGCCATTCCCTGAAAGACTTGTACTCCAGACCCCTCACCAGCTTCATTGCTGTTCTCTGCACATGCTCCAGGGCCTCAATGTCTTTCTTGTAAGGAGAGGCCAAAAATTGAACTTGAGGTGCAATTGAATTGTACAATTGAACAGTACTTGAGGTGCATCTTCACCAGTGCCGGGGACAGAGGGACGATCACTTCCCTGCTCCTGCTGACTACAATAATTCTGGTACAAGTCAGGATGCTGTTAGCTTTCTTGGCTGTCTGGGCACACTGCTAGCTCATGTTTAGCTAAGCACTGACCAACACCCTCAGGTCCATTTCTTCCATACAGTCTTTGCGCTACTCTACCTCAAGCCTGTAGCTTTGCTTGGGACTGTTGTGGCCAAAGTGCAGGAGCCAGCACTTGGTCTTGTTGAACTTCATCCCATTGGCCTCAGCCTATTGATCCAGCCTGTTGATATCTCTCTGTAGGGCCATCCTGTCCCCAGGTTGGTCAACACTTCCTGCCTACTTGATGTCATCTGCAAACTTACTGAGGGTGCACTCATTTCCCTTGTCCATGTCATCAATAAAGATATTAAACGGGATAGGATTTGACGTTAACTTTAGACTCTTCCCTACCTACTAGACTTCACAGGAATTGGGTGGCTTAAGCAAGCTTCTTTTGTTGCATACAGTCGTTATTTACTTGTTTATTCTATAGTTGTCCTTTTCCATATGCAGGGAAAGCTTTATCAGTTGCTTTCCATGCAAGCTAAAACTTTGAGGAAGCTTTATGGGTTTTAGGAGGGCGTTGGTTAGTTTCTTGGTTGAGCAACAATGAGCTGTCATCATCTAGATTTCCTGTAAAATAGTGTCTGATAATATTTCACTTAACAGTGGTTAGCTGCAAATTAAGTAATTCTTTAAAGATGTAGTCATTGCCTCCAAATCTATAACTGTGGTCTCTCACAATAATCTTTATTGCACACATCTGCACAATGGTACTGTTGTTCATTTTTCATGTTTACAAGTGTTATTGCTTGCATTCAGCTTCACAAATTATTCCCATTGTGTATATCCATGGTGTGAGAGTATATTTTTAAATCATGGGAAAGCCAGATTGTTTCCCAATCTCCTACCCCATCTCCTTCCAAAAAAATCTTACTTTACTTTGGAAAATAAAGGGCAAGAGAAAACTGGAAAATAAACAGGACAGGAGGCAATGGGCACAAACTGGAGCACAAGTGGTTCTGTGTAAACACCAGGAAAATTTTCTGTGCTGTGTGAGTGACTGGCATTGATTGCCCACAGAGTTTGTGGAATCTCCCAGGGTAATCTCCAGAAAGTGCTTGGATATGGACATGGGTATCCTGTACTGGGTGGTCCTTCTAGAGCAGGGGGGTGGACTAAATGACCTCCTTAGGTCTCTTCCCACCTCCATCATTTTGTGATTCTTTGATATCCCTAATTTCTGGTCAATCAGAGTCTTGATCTGGCAAGGTAACATCTCTTTTTCCAAGTTTTTTACACTTGTAAAAAATGCAAATACTATTTTCTTGTGACCTTGTAAAAGATCTTCTGACTCCATTTTATATTGGTATTAGCTTTGTTCTTCAAAGTAGAGGTATTGCATTTGTGATTCCTGTTTTGTAAGAAAGCTGGGTTACTTTATCTTATGGCTCTGTGCTTCTGAAAACAACTCTGATTCTTGTTTACTGGATCTTGGTCTACCCAAGTTTGAAGATCACATCTCTTTTGATCAAGAGGACATCACCTTCATACCTCATACCTTTTTAGATACTTTAAAAAAATATGGTGCTAATTTGTGTGCGCACATCTTTGGCAATGGAGGCGATAATTAAATAGAGCAGTTTGAAATCAGGTTAGTAATCAGGCAGAAAAATTGGCATGAAGAGACAAGGGAGGCGAACAGTTATTTGTGTGAGCACAGTACATAGAGAACAGCTGAGAACCTGACTTGTGTGCTGGTATGTCTGCAAGTATTTTGGTGCTTTTGATATTTCTGTTGTTGTTGAAGAGTACACATTGGCTTTGTCTCTAGTAGTAAACTGAACAGGGCCAAAGCATATGTATTCCCAGAGACCTGAAAATTATTATCTGTACTGTCAAATTATTTGAACAATATGAGGCAAGATTCTGCCCTATGCCAAACATCCTCTCCTAAACAACTTCTTGCACTCTGAGGAATTACTACAGTCCAGGCACTGTAGTAGGCAGCTTTGGGTGTTCACACTGCTCTGAAGCCTTGCAATGCAGAGGCCAGTTGACTTCTGTATCAGAAAACCAACTGGGGCATGTCTGAATTTTGTGTGTAGATTGTAGCTGTTAAGAGTAAAAAGAGTTTCTGTTTGTGCTAAATCCCATGGTCAGGAAAGCTGGAGAGGATACTTCTTCATTATCTTCCCAAAGAAAAATGATCAAGAATGCTGATCATTTTTACTGTATCAGCTTGAAAATGTTGCCACTTTGATGTCTGTGTGTAGGAAAAAGCAGTTCCTACAAGCTGGCATGATAAGCCCCTCTGCTTTGAGAAAAGCCATAGAGACATGATAGTGTACAGGGTGTCCTTAGCTGCAAAATTGCAGCTGTTGTGAACATCTTGGATCTTAAAGTGAAGTTGGTGTGATGCTACTAAGAGGCAGTTTTTGTTCTGCTTTCTTTTATAAAGAATAGAAATCCATCAGCTGTTTTTCAGTATGTTTTTATAGCTGATTTTGCAATGCAATAGTCATTATCACCATTTTAAATCTTTTGGCCCTTCGTATGCCGTGGGTTGCCTCTTGATGTGAAATTGCAAAGGAGTTATGTGAAACGTAATGTTTGTAAAATGCTTTGAAGATGAAAAGCTCTACAGTAGGCTTTTATTATTACCAGAGGCAAAGTGAACAGGAGCAGCTTAATGTTGGACTGTTCATTTCCCAAGAGATGGCTTTGTTTTGAAGAGTGTATGTAATCCACTGGGCTGGAGTCAGAATGCTCTTATTTCAAGTTGGAATATAAACAAATTAGCAAACTTTCTACCTTGAGATTATTTGCATGAGAGGTCTGTGAAAGAGCAGAGGAAGTTTTGGTGCAATCTCGGCTCTGTTTGAAGTAACATTTATTTGGTGTATTTGGCTTCTGCTACCCAAATGTATTTCGAATCCAATCCTTTTAAACATCCTTATCAGGGAAGCAGCGTTTTGCCACAGATCAGGTCTTTTTCTACAGCTCTGATCATTTTCTGTTCACATTTAATATGTGAAAATCATGTCTGCATTCAGAAATGGTGACAGTTTATTAGAATTGGGTTTAATTTGGTTTTAGTGCTCTAACACGTACAGGAAAACGTTACTTCCAGCCCCTACTGAGATCATAAGCTGATAGGTGGCTGTAGGGATGTGCTGTACTGCTGCTGTTCCCCCGGCCCTTGGAGAAGGAGGAGCTGCGTGGCTCCATCAGAAATCCAACTTCCCATAGCGGGGAAGCTGCTTCATGGACACGGCTGTCATCACGTGCCCCACCATCCCCGTCGCCCCTGCGGTGGGCCATCCCATCAGTTCCAGCCAGCAGCATTGTTTTGACAGAGCTGTTCTGTGGTGTCAGCACCGGGGGCCTCTGGGGAGGCGGCACGGCCGGCATTTCTGAGACGGCTATTGTTGGTGAAGGGGCTGCTGGGCCGCGGCCAGGCGCAAGGCACCACAGCCCTGCGGCCTTGAGCGGGCCGCCTTGCCCACCGCAGCTGCGGCCGCTCTGGGCTCCTGCCTGGCACTTGCAGAAATCGCTGTGGAATTTGCTGATTCTGCCAGAGCGGAGCTAAACACTTGTTCCCAAGTGGTATGGCCCATCGGTACAGCTGCCGGTTACGAAAAACATGCGAGGGCTTTTATCCCTAATAATCGAGCTTCGTCAGGTTATTGTGAGCTCAAGATGGTCGGAGTCATACTATCGTGGAGTACCTCCTTGCTTAGCTTACAGGAAGCTTTTGCCTCTCGTGCTTCGGTTAAAATGGTCATCTATTATTGGCTGCTTAGCCAGAGGTGGAAGGGGAGGCTAAACTTCCCCTCCGTATTGCTGGTGAGAGTTAACTGGCACTGCCCAGCTGTGCTTTCATAATGTTCTGACCTATTTACACAACAGAACCGATCAGAACAAAATAAATGGTTCTGATGAAATTGCTGTATTATAACAGTGACATTTGGCAGTGGGTGTTCTCTTCATTTTTTCATAGATAGACAAAATCAAAATGCTGCTGAAACCTTCAGTATCAACCGTCAGTGAGTGGCTTGTTTCTTCTGGGACAGTTTGGTTGCTCAGTTGGAACAAATGCTCATAAAGCAACTGACAAAAAAAGCTTATGAGTAGCTTCATCATTCTACCATGCAGAATAATCAATAATTGCATAATTTCCAGCAATTTACAGAAAGTATCTACAAATATTGTGGATCTTCTCTGCGAGGTGGAATCTCCTTGAAGGAGTGTTAAGTAGGAAGCATGAAACTGTGTCAGACTGTAGGAAATGTCAGTTTCCTGCCTTTGTTTTCTGTTTTGTAATAGCTATAGGGGACACTTGTAATTATTTCCTCATTTTTATGTGGTATCCCTTAAGGAACAAATTGAGAAGGAGCTAATGTTTCATTTTAGCTATTTGGACAATTGTTCCATGTTTCCTGGGCAACAAATATTTGGTAGTTTGGAGGATACAGTTGCTTGATGCTCAGGACAAGAGATCTCTCTTTCTATCTTGCACCTGGAATTCAGATTCTGAGAATACTAAAATGGAGGTGTTTTTTTTTTAACATGTCTTCTTTTTTTTTCTTCCTAATTCTATTCAGTGATAGTCCCAACGCTGTGCATGAGGTGGATAAGTGGTTACCACGACTGCACTCAGTTGTCATAGGACCTGGCTTAGGCAGAGACGAAGCTTTACTTGAAAATGCTAAGGTAATGTGTTTACTGAGTTTTTATACTTTGTCTTCCTGTTGAATTTTATTAACCAATTCTGTATCTTTTGCTTGATTACACCAATGTTTGTGATCAAGGCTACTAACTCACAGGTTAAACAAAATTGTTGCAATATATTTCCATAATTGAAAGGAGTCTCTGTGATATTTTCCACAGTTCATTCTCACCCACTTTCTTAAGAAATCTACATAAAATTGGTTCCTTTTGTTTGATTTTTATTTTTGTGTTGTTGGTTTTTGTTTGTTTGTAAATGAATGGTTAGTATTTATTGTAGCAATTATAATTTAAAAGAAAGAGTTTAACTGGGTATTGTTGACGGAAAATTGCAGCTGTTAATTATGGTCTACATTATTAAAATTCAGAGGGAAGTTTTAAGTTCAGAGACCCATGTGGTTGTTTTGATTTGCTTTTGTTTTCATTGTTAAAGTTGCTAATTAGGAATAGATATTGGGATCTCCAGGTTAAGGGCTCTGTGTTTCCTTAGGTGCCGAGCACCTGTTACTGTAAGAACCTCAGTATGAATTTGAGTTCCTAATTTTAGGAGCTATATTTGGCAGCATGTGCTAGGAGGAGTACCAGAGAACAGAGATTGTGTCCCCTTGCAATAAGAAATAATAGTCTTAATTATAAAATGTTTCAGAGTTCTACTCTGGATAAAGAAGTAATCCTATTTTCTCTCAAGTCTTAATGTTGGACTGAAAACAGGAGCTTAGATAGCTCTGTGCATTAAGCAGTAGGCACCCACACAGCCTTCCAGATGTCCTGTGTTACTCCCAACACATCTTCGCATGTTTCAGTTCAAACAAAATAAGATTGGTATTAATTTTAAAAAGTCTGAGACGTTACACTGAATTAATCAGTGGTACTAACAAGTGGAATTAATAGAATTTACAGAAGTGTTGGAAGTTAAACAGTGGATTTACAAAGCGTAAGAAGCTGTAAATCCAAGCTATCCAAGACATGTAGAATCCCTTACAGTAGAGGAGGTCATTTATGCTAAGCTTATGTTAGAGAAAGTTGTCTTTGAAAGTTCTTCACTCCTTTTAACCTTCTCCTTTCAAAAAGTATGTCTTGTATGACACAGGTACAAAACTAATAAAAAACATGGATCCAGAGTGGCAATAAAGGAATTTAATACAGTTGATAATGAAGCAAATTTGATCCTACATGAAAACTTTCATCAGAGATTTTTAGAACTTCGTGAGGAATTCTTTCTCCAGCAAAAAGATTTGAGCGATGTTTTTCATTTTTTATTTTTCTTTTCTTTCTAAAGAAAAGTGACTTTAAACAAAAGTAAATAACACTTTGTTTAGAATATCTAAAATACTTAAGTTTCTTCAGTGTAAAAATTCCATCCAGATTTTAAAGACATCTGTCATGTTCTTATCTGCATTACAGAAGTATCTGGAAGATTCCTTTTCTTTGGTAAAGATGTTCTTCCCTATTGCTAAAAACAATTTTTACTTTCTTAGTAAATTATAGTCATGCTTTTACTTCAGCTTGAGTATGCTTCTTGAGCTTACATGCAGTCAACAAAACAAATACAGCCGATGAAGACCAGCCATTTGGAAGTTCCTTCATACTGAAATCTAGGGTCATGTTTTTGTGAGCTGTAGGTCTGACCTTGTTGATTTCAAGCCACATTAAAGCTCAACTTCTTTGTCTTTGCTATAATTATGTAAATGTTTGTTAGTTATCCAGTTACATCTGTTTTTTTTTTTTGCTTGTTTGAATCCCACAACCATTATCTCCTAAATTCTTCATTCAACCAAAAGCTTTAGTAGGTGCGTATAACTGGGGGCAAATGAACACTGGTTGTGTGCTTAAGAAAGACTAGTGTTTCTCTGTGCTGAGGAAAGGCTGTCTCCCTCTTGTTTCTGCAGTGAATGTTAAGCTTTGTATCACTCTTCACCTTCCAAAAACCAAGCAAGTGATGATAGCATTGCTATATTAAACTTTTCTAAGATGCTGGCTGAAAGTGTAGTTCTCGCTCTTCCTTTAAGCTAACCTCAGCATGCTGTCATTTGAGTACATTGCTGAGATGTAGATTAGTGTCTGCTTTTGTTTCAGGGTTTTGTATCAGAGTGGCAGTGACAATGAGAGGTTTCCTCTATTCCTCTTTCCTCACTGAAGTGATGAGGCTTAGTGGTCCATCAGCTGACTGATGCTGTTTCTATCTGGGTCTTGAATATCTCCAGAGGAAAATCCACAGCCGCCCTGGGTGGTGTGTTCCAGTGCTCCATCACCCTCTCTGTGAAGAAGTTCCTTTGCATGTTGCTGTGGAACTTCCTATGCTCCAGTTTATGGCCATTTCCCCTTGTCTTGTCCCCACAGACCGCCGAAAAAAGGTTGGCCATGTCCCTTTGATGCTCACTCTTAAGATATTTATTAACATTAGTAAGATCACCTCTGAGTCTTTTCTAAAGGCTAAACAGACCCAGGTTGCTCAGCCATTCATCATAGGGGAGATGCTACAGGCCCTTTAATATCTTTGTGGCCCTCTGCTGGACTCTCTCTGGGAGATCCCTGTCACTTTTTGTACTGGGAATTCCAGAACTAGATACAGTACTCCAGGTGAGGCCTGACCGGGGCAGAGTAGAGGGGGAGGATTGCCTTGCTTGACAAGCTCCAAACCCCCCACTGTGGACAGAGCTGCCCCCCACCAGCTCAGGCTGCCCAGGGCCCTATCCAACCTGGCCTTGAGTGCCTTCAGACATGGGGCACCACAGCTTCTCTGGGCAGCTGTGGCAGTGCCTCACTGCCCTCTGAGTAAAGAATTTCCACCTAATAGTTAATCTGTTTTTCCCCTCTTTTAGTTTAAAGCCATTCCCCCTTGTTCTATCACTATTAGACTGTATAAAATGTCTCTTCCCTTCCTGCTCATAAGCTCCCTTTAAGTACTGGAAGGCTGCAATGAGGTCTCCCTTTAGCCTTCTCTTCTTCAAGCTAAACAAACAAAACTCCCACAATCTTTCATTGTAAGAGAGCCCTTTGATCACATTAATGGCCCTTCTCTGGACTTGCTCCAACAGCTCTGCATCCTTCTTTTGTGGGGGCCCCAGATCTGGACACAGGTTGACCTCAACGGACTTGAAAGGTGGGCCTGGGTGAACCTAATGAGGATCAACACAACAAAGTACAAGGTTTTGTACTTGGGCCAGAGGAATCCCAGGCATTTATACAGACTGGAAGGAGCAGCCCTTGAGAGGCACCCTGCAGAGAATCTGGGGGTCCTGGTGGATGAAAAATTCAGCATGAGCCAGCAGTGTGCTTTTGCATCTTGGAAAGCAAATGGTATCCTGGGCTCCAACAGAAGAGGGGTGCTTTCAGAGGGGAAGAGCTGCAATTCAGAACCACTTGGCGGTTCATTCATACAGGTGAATGGCCACAGCACAGCGGGCCTTTGTAATCACAGCACCATGGAATATCCCGAGTTGGAAGGGAACCACAAGGATCACGTTGACATGGTGGAAAGAAGGGATGCCATTCAAAGGGACCTCAACAGACTTGAAAGGTGGACCTCTGAACTGGCCAGCAGGGACAGGGAGGTGATTGTCTTTCTCTACTCTGCTCTTGTGAGGCCCCATCTGGAGTACTGCATCCAGGTCTGGAGCCCCCAGTACAAGAAAGACAGAGAGCTGTTGGAGATGGTCCAGAGGAAAGTCACAAAGATGATCAGGGGACTGGAGCACCTCCCTTATGAAGACAGGCTGAGGGAGCTGGGCTTGTTCAGCCTGGAGAAAAGAGGGCTGCAGGGTGACCTCATTGCAGCCTTTCAGTACCTAAAGGGAATCTACAAACAGGAGGGGAATCAACTCTTGGAAAGGGTGATAACAGCAGGACAAGGGGAAATGGTTTTAAGTTAAGGGAGGGAAGATTTAGGTTGGACGTCAGAGGGAAGTTCTTTACAGAGAGAGTGGTGAGGTGCTGGAACAGGCTGCCCAGAGAGGTTGTGGATGCCCCGTCCCTGGAGGTGTTCAAGGCCAGATTGGATGGGGCCCTGGGCAGCCTGGTCTAGTATTAAATGGGGAGGTTGGTGGCCCTGCCTGTGGCAGAGGGTTGGAGATTCATGATCCTTGAGGTTCCTTCCAACTCTGGCCATTCTGTGATTCTGTATCTTTATGATATACCTACTTCCTTCTCACTTATGGAATCATGGAACTGTTTGAGATTAAAGGGACTTTAAAGATCTTTTCCTACTCCCCTGCAGTGAACAGGGACACCTACAGCTTGATCAGGTTGCTCAGGGCCTGGTCCAGCCTGGCCTAGGGGGAGTGCATTGACCATGTCTCTGGGCAACCTGTTCCAATGCTTTGCAATACTTATTGTAAAAAATTTTGTTTTTATATCCAGTCTAAATTTCCCCTGCTTTAGTTTGAAACCATTTCCACTTGTCCTATCATAACAGACTACTAACAAGTTTGTCCCCTCCTTTCTCATAGCCTCCCTTCTGACACAGAAAGGCTACTGTGTTAATGCCCTCCATGGGCATGGTGTTTCAAGTCCTTTCAACAACCTTTTGGAAAAGAAGCATTTTATGATCAGTTTTCTTTTATGCTTTTCCTGAGTGTAGTGATACTCTTTGAAGGCATACTCTTAGTTTTTTTTCCTACGGTTGACTGATTTTGGTTATAGTTCCATTTACAAGACCTGTTACGAGAAGCTACTCAAAAAGTTATATCCCACTCTCTTTTATGAGCCTGTGCTAAAACTTTTACATACTACTCCTCAGCTGCCTGAGTGAGATCTGATGCTTCCTAGGTATGGGTTTGCAGGATCAGAGTCTGCAGTTTCACAAAAAAAATGTAGCAGTTAAATCTTTTGTTGGGTCCAAATACTTGTCAAGCTGGATTCCATGCAGATATAGAAGCTCTAGACTTGACCTCTGACTTCTGGAGCAAATAAGCAGTCCAAGCTATTCCACTGAAAGAGAAAGGAACAAAGGATCATTTCTCCTCCGCTTCTCAGCTCTGGAGCAT